CGAGCCGCAGGCGAGCGAGCGCCATGGCCGCTTCGATACAGCCCCAGGTCGGGGAGCTGCTGGCCGAGGCCCGGCGGGCCTTCCGGGAGGAGTTCGGCGCCGAGCCCGAGCTGGCCGTGTCGGCGCCGGGCCGCGTCAACCTCATCGGGGAGCACACGGATTACAACCAGGGCCTGGTGCTGCCCATGGTGAGGCTGCGCGGGACCCCCGGAGCCCGTTGCCGGCAACCCGGAGCCGAGAGGGCGGGCCTCGCGGGCGCGGGCGGGCGCGTTCTCTCCGCGTGAGAGTGGGGCGGCGAGCGCACGCAGGGACCCCAGGGCGGGCAGTTCCTGGGGCCTCTGCTCATCGGGAAGAAGCCGGGAACCCGTGAGGAAGTAACTGGGACAGGGTACGCGGCCGCCTCTGCCTCTTAGCTCACGCCTGCCCTCGGGCTGCTAGTCCGCGCCTTGAACCTGAAAGTGTGTTCCCTTTAGAATGCGGGGCCCCACGAAGCACGCAGGAAGGGACACTGGGCCTCTGGCCACCCTGGCGCCCCAGTCGCGTTCTCGGAGAACGTAGCCCTTAGCCTCTTGCCCTGCCGGTTCAGTTTACAGAGGAGGAAACTGAGGTCCAGAGAGAGCTAGTGACTTGTTCAAGGTCACACAGCTCATTCTTGGTGGGGCCTCCCAGCTCTCAGCCTGGGGCTCTTCTACCTCTCTGCGCAGCTTGGGAAGTAGGTGAGGCAGCGTGACCCCGGCCATCCCAGGAAGGCAGAGGAGCGCCTTTGACCCTCTGCTCCCTTGAACTAGCCCCACAGCTGGAAACCCATGATCGGGGACAGAGTCCAGGCCTACCTTTGCAGTGGCTGGCCTGGCCCCAGGGGCAGGGCCCAAGCCCCCAGAGCCAGCCCAGCCTTGGCGCTTTTTCTGAGCCACACCCATCCCCTGCCTTGGGCTTATGAGGCATGTCCCTGTCTGTCCTGGGGCTCCAGAACTTTGGCTGGAGTGGTGTCATTGGAGGGGCTTATTGTGTCTGGGCATCGGCTTTCTATCCTCCTATCTGTCCTGCCAGGCTTTGGAGCTCCTGACCATTCTGGTGGGCAGCCCCCGAGAGGACGGCCTGGTCTCTCTTCTCACCACCTCTGCGGACGCTGACGAGCCCCAGCGACTACAGTTTCCACTGCCCACAGCCCAGCGGTCACTGGAGCCTGGGACCCCCCGATGGGCCAACTATGTGAAGGGGGTGATTCAGCACTACCCAGGTATGAGCCTGAACCGGGCTGGAGTCCACGCTGGTCCTAGGGTGCCACCTCATAGCCGCAGAGCCATTCATCCAGCTAAGGCCGCTGTGGGGAGGCCGGCCGGCTGGTTGCACCCATTGTACGGAGTCTGGAAGTTACCCTGGGTTTCTCGTTACATGATCAGAGGAGCTAGGATTCAAACCCCAGCCTGTGGCCTCCAGAGCCCTAAACCAGGACACCTACGAAGGCTGTCCCAGCCACCTCAGAGGGTGGTAAGATGGGGGCAGTGTGCCTCTGGCCCCAGCAGTCGGGTGGCCTCTGACAACTGTGACGCGTGCCCTTGAAGCAGCTGCCAGGCAGTTGCCCCCCACCGTATTAGGTCACGTGCCCTCCTTGCACCCGTCCCCCCAGGCAGCCCGTCTCACCATCACCCATTCTCTCCCCGCAGCGGCCCCCCTCCCTGGCTTCAGTGCAGTGGTGGTCAGCTCAGTGCCCCTGGGGGGTGGGCTATCCAGCTCAGCGTCCCTGGAAGTGGCCACCTACACATTCCTCCAGCAGCTCTGCCCAGGTACCACCTGGACCCTGCCCCTGGCCCATCCCTCCCTCCCTGAGGTCTCCTCATGGTCAGCATCTTCCCCTACTGTGGCTTAGGGAGGGAGGGCAGGGCGTCCCCCAGCTCCTGCTACTCCCACCTGCCCATGTCTGGTGCCTCTTGCTGGGCCCCAGCCTGCCCCCTCCCCCTGTGCCTCAGATGCGGGGGCTGTAGTGGCCCGGGCCCGGGTGTGCCAGCAGGCCGAGCACAGCTTTGCAGGGGTGCCCTGTGGCATCATGGACCAGCTTGTTGCACTGCTGGGGCAGAAGGGCCACGCACTGCTCATCGACTGCAGGTACCACCCGCTGGGCCCTGGGAGGGTGTGCCCGCTGCTGGCGTGGCTCGCAGACAAGAGGTCCTATCATCGCCCTGCTCCACCTCAGGTCCCTGGAGACAAGCCTGGTGCCACTGTCAGACCCCAAGGTGGCTGTGCTCATCACCAACTCCAATATCCGCCACTCCCTGGGCTCCAGCGAGTACCCGCTGCGGCGGCGCCAGTGTGAAGAAGTGGCCCGGGCACTGGGCAAGGAGAGCCTTCGGGAGGTGCAGCTGGAGGAGCTCGAGGGTGAGAACCAGTGGGGGGTGCTCTGTCTTGGCTGCCTGCCTGGCCCTCCGTCTGCCTCGACCCTGCCATGTGGCTCCTGTTCTCGGGCCTTCTGCCCTGCCCTGCCCACTGGCCCCAAATACCAGAGACCTGGAGCTTCAGCCCCAGTAGGGCTGGGTGAAATCTAAAATTTTCAATCTAATAAGAATATCCTGGGGACCAGCAGTTGGCGTAATGGCTATATCGCTGAACTCCCATGTAGTCAACTGCAGTTCGAATCCCGGACCTGGTGACTTAAACTCACGCCGGGCGCGCATGTGTGTGTGCCTGAGATCCCGAGAGGAGAATGGAGGAGAAGGGATTGCGGCATGGCCATACTCTCTGGGGGGTGATTTCTCACTTTCTGTCTCTCGGTCCCTGTGTCTTTCATTGTGGGAAACAGAAAAGTATGAAGTAGAAAATAGTCAGCTACTGGGCGGCTGGCAGGTGGCATGGTGGTTAAGGGTGCGGGACTCACATGGCTGACCGAGGCTCAGTGCCAGACCTGGCGGCTTGTGCGCGCTTGCACTCTCTCTTCCCCCCCTCCCGCCGTGGTCAAATTAAAAATAAATAAGAAAATAATCAACTATAAGGCCACTACCCAGAGCATGGCAGACTTCCAGCACTCTGTGATCCCAGTTGAGTGTAAATAATCTTGTCACACGCCTTTTTCTCACTTAATGTCTCAGGACCCCAGGCTGTGAGAGGCGGTCATCAACTTGGCTCTCTAAAGCTCCGCGTAATACTGCGGCGCGCAGGGCCACCCATCTCCGTGATATTGCGGCGTGCAGGGCTGCACATCTCCGTAATATTGCAGTGTGCAGGGCCGCGCATCTCCGTGATATTGCGGCATGCAGGGCCACCCATCTCCGTGATATTGCGGCGTGCAGGGCTGCA